AGGCTGATATTATTTAAAGTTTTAACTATAAATAACTCAAACTATCTTTGATAAAATGCAAAAGTTTATTAATAAGTTGTTATTTTAAATATTTAGATTTGAATGTAAGGCTTAAGATGCACACTTCCGACAGCAAATTTTTGTTCACTAGTTTCAATAGTGTGCTGTTAGTTTTAATATCAGAGTGATTTAACATATTATAATTTTTTATATATCAACATTATCTGTGCTAAGCTTTGTCTTTTATTCGATATTTTAATTTTCAAGCTAATTATAAGCATTTTAAATTTTTTATATTTCACATACCCATATTAGGAAGCTAGTGGTTTTACAATGGTATTTATTTTTTTTTTTTATTTTTTTTATATCCTGTATACAAAATTTCTACCAGAAGGAGTGCTTTGATTTCAACATATAGTACCTTATCTTTTAGCAAATTGGACCAAGATGGTACTTTAGAGAGGTCATTTTTCGATTTTCTCAATAGTTATTTAATGCCACGGGAAAAAGTACTGAAAAATTACGAAAAACCGCTTAAAATGGGATTTTAATTTCTAACAATTTGTTTATTAAGCAACGAATAAAAAAAATAATAATAAAATAAATAAAATAATTAATGACAATATAAAATATACAGACTGACAAACCATCTCCGTTCAGAATCGTTTTTCTTATACAATGATATTATATCATTGAATTCAAGTTTAATACAATCCATTAAACAATGACCAACTTGTAACCTACTGTACAGCTGAGCGACATCCACTTACCTGCCTTTTTTTAAAATGATAATTTTAATAAATCGGCAATGCTTAAGCACAGATAATGTTCTTACCTAAAAGTTTTAAAATAGGTCAATTCACTCTTGAATTAAAACTTACAGCACACTATTGGAACTAGTAAATAATAAATAATTTGCTATGTCTTGCTTGTATAAGACGAATATAACAAATTTATGGGTAGCTTCCTCTTAAGAAATTAAGTTTTGAAATTAATAAATATAGGTTTTAAAACACAAATCCTTAAAGAACATTGCATAATTTTGAATATTGATCTTGGATTAATAATTTTATAACAATATATACTTTAGAAAACTAAAATTTGAGATCACAAATTGTTTGTTTAGTTTAAATATTTATTTCATAACATAATCAATCCTAGATATTTGTTATTGATCTTTCAAATTTTGTTTTGAATATTAGTATTACAAAATATCAGTTGCATTTATGTATGCATTTTTGTTTTGTTTTTGTGACTAATATTTTGTCTCTTTAAAGTCCTAAGTCCTAGGTTCTGTCAAAAAAATATAATATAAGATGTTAGAATTGCTGGCATCTTAAATTTTTCAAATTACATTTAAAATAAATGCATTTGTAAACATGCTGCTTATAAGCAAATGTATACCCTGTCATAATATTGCCAGTGGACTATTTGGTCACCATTGCTCTAAGAAAGTATAATAACTACTTACAATAATAATCTACCTACCTATTAATGCTAATATTACTTTTTTTTCAATAAACCTAATTTATGTATGTCCAGATTGTACGTAATAACACTATAGATTGGCAACGCTAATTAAATAATTTATCACACATTATTTTAATTTTTATTTGACTCTGGTGATACATGGTGGCAGGAGACAAGTATATACTAATTTCCGACCGCACCACTTGTGAGTCAAATTCAAATACAAATAATGAACTATAAATTATTGCTTTGTCATTGCATGTCTAAGGTGTTATTTAATCTATGCCAATATATAGGTGTTTAAACATGAATAATTAAAAAAATTATTATAACTATTAGATTTAATGCAACTAAGTGTACAATTTTTTACTCCATTATATTATATAATATTACAGGGTATTGTGTGCCATACAACAGTCTGGTAACTATACTATTGTATTTTCTTATTTAAAGTTTATTATTAAGATTATTATTAATAATATTATTATAAATAACTTATAATTTAAGTATCTTAGTGCAATGATAAATTAATTGGTTTTATTGTTATTATTATAACTATTTGTTCCAATAGTGTCATGTCTACCGCTACTTTATAAATTATATCTATACTCTGACTCATTCAAACCTAATCTCAAACGGCAGGCTTCTGTGCATGGTGACGACAATGTGTATGATAATCTGCACTAACTGCCGTGCTTTCAGAAGTGTCACTTTATTATTTCTATTAAGGCCCAGCTTACATTTACTTAACACAGTAAAGAATATTTTATCTAGGGTCGAATATCAAAATAAAAGTGGTTGTAAACCAATTTATGTAGATGAGTGGTCTATCTAAACCAGATAAAAATCAGTCACTGCCCGAGGTTACCCTTACATAAAACAAAGTATAATTGCTATTTTCAAGAAGTTATTTTTCGTTTTCTCAATAGTTCCTAAATTTCCATGTATAAATACTACTTATTGAGAAAAGTTGTATTTCTACATTTTATTGAAAATTGTAACTGTAAGTTAAGACTTGAAATTTAAATACAAATCTATTTACTTATTTATTTTTTAAATATATTACAGGATACATTTTTGAAATCTTTTATACATATTATTATTTAGTTATTTTTTAAAAAAACTAATATATTAAATAAATCTATGAACAAAGTGTTACCTACAAAGTTCCAATTAGAAATTTTTTTTTCAAATTTAATTATTTGGTTGCTCTTGAGTTATAAAAGTAGTATAGCTACTAGCTATCCTACATGGACAATAATACAATTTAAATGAATGTCAACAATGATCTTTGTACCCTGCCTGTCTCTAATAATTTTTTCTTAAGATATACCTATAATTTTCTATTGTAGTTTCACACTTATTTAATGTTATGTTTGATATATTTTTATGAATCTTACCTAATTACTACTTTATGTACTAAATGTTTAAACTTATGCATAAATGTATACATTTTAAATGTTATCATATTTTTCTACTTACTAAATTTGAAATATTATATTTTTTATATTTATCCAAAATAATATTGTAATACTACTATTCTTGTGAATTTTATTTTAATAAAGTTTTATTTAAGTCTTATTTTAGTAGAGTATTTTTTATATGTATTTTTTTTTTAGTAAAAATTACTTGATATAGTATTAACATTTCATATTATGTGTAATTTTGTACCCATTAAATAGCAGTATAATAAGTATATTTAGGAACTAAAATTAATCAATTTAATTGTGTATTATTTAACCTATATATTTAACATGGTACAATATTATATAATATACTATTTATTATGACCTGCATATTTTCCGTTATTAATCTCAAATTATTGTTTTAGACATCATCACTATTGCAAGTTAAGTTGTGTTGGTTGTCCATATTAAGTGGTTATATTATAAGCTTTGAAACTAGTCTCATTCATTTTTATTCTATCTTGTTCGGCTTGGAAATTTAAATATGTATCTATGTTGTTTAAAAAACAAAAGAATGACATTAAATTAAACCATATAAACAAGAAAAAATGTTTGATATTAAATACACAATCTAAATCTGAAAGTCTTATCATTGTCTGTCCTTATTATTACAAATTTCACTTAATTTTCTTCAAAACTGTTATCAGTCATTTAATTATTGGTATAATTCATTTAATTTATTTAATTTATCAATAACTGAAAAAATTATAAAGTTACTTTTTAAGGTTATCTGATGTCAAATATTGTGGATTTATTAAGTTCTAGTGAAAGAACTTAATTTTTTTTCTATACATAATTTTATTTTAATTATATGTCTTAGTAATAACCTAACATAAAGATATTTAAATATTTTTAAAAGAGAAAGAATCAAAAGTGATTTGTGTAAATGAGATAAGATCATTTACTGTTTAGGTTTCTGATAAATAGCAATGAGAAGTCTTGTTTTGATGTACCAATTTCTTACACAAATAAAGGCTTGGGTGTATTGTTTTAAGTATAATGCACATAATGATGTACACAGTTCATAGATATCTTAATAATAAACTAACTTGGTATTTGAATTTTTTTGGAATTATATAAAAAAAAAATTGAATAAGACTTTACTATTTACGGTATAAAGCTTAGTTATATCACATTTTTTGAAAGCTAAACCTGCTTGAAATTATTTTTTTTAAATAAAGGTTAAAATAATAGTTAGTAGTAATTGCTGGGATGTTGTTTTTAAAAACTACGATCATTTTTTATTCAAAAATAATAAGTTTATCAGTTATACTAGTTTTAATATTAGATAGTATCCTCATGCCAACAAATACATGCAGAAGATTAATTGGACTGTCATTAGTTTAAATATATAATAATAATCGCGGTATTAAACATAACAAGTTTTAGTGTCAACTTTATGATTGATGCTTAAAAATTAGAAAATAAGTAATAAATAATAATATTTATAATCACATGATTTTTGTAAACATTTTAAGAGAATGTCTTATCCGCATACTTTGTGTTATCCATCTTTCTAATACATAATATATCAAAATATACGTCCAGCAGTTCAAACTTTGAATTGTTAGCTTAAATATTAGAGTGAAGTGACCTATTTTCAAACTTAAATGTAAAAACATTGTCTGTGTCCTCTCGTTGGTTTTTTACGATATTTTAATTTTTAAGTTAATTACAACATATCAGTATGTAAAATATTAATATTTGAAAATGATCATAATTCACTTAAAAATTAAAATTTCATAAAAAGCAAACCAGATAAAACAGTTAATGTTCTTTAATTTAAGTTGGATAATAGGTAAATTCACTCTAATATATTTTAAGCTAACAACACAAAACTGGAATTGCTGGACGTACATTTTGATATGTATTAGTAAGATGGACACTACACACGTGGTCTTAAGTGACAAATCATACTTCTTAATTTAAAAAAAAAAAATTAACATCAAATTTAACTGAAATTATTATTTGTAAATTGATATAGTTGTAAAATATTGTATGTCATTTATTTATTTCCTTTTACTAGATGTTATTAAAGCAACCGTGTTGTTTTTTTTTTTACAGTGAAATCTCAGACATAATATTCGACAGAGAAGTGGATAACGATTCTGTGGACGACAATATGTACCTAAATGCAGCTGGCCTCGATGACGACATAAATGGGCTGATGAATTGCCATCGGCTGGAAGACATTTCGGTGGCGGACGATTGCAACCTTGTGGTGCCGAAACAAGAGTACCTGGACGTCTTGACAGAAGACAGCAACCACGTAGAAGTACTTGACCCGCAATTGCCCACCGACGTGAACGTCAACTCGGTTTGCGGAGGAGACGATATCACTAATCACGACAATTGTGAAGACTTCAAACCACTTATAGATTCGATTAACGTCAATGATACTGAGGATGGTGAAATGGATCACCTGCAAAAAGATGGTGACGGAAGCAACGGGATGGACTGTGAAATGGACAATGAGAACGATCATGAAGACGAGGATGAAGATGAGGACGAGGATTGCAACCCGCTAGGCAACATGCAGGTGAGACAGTTGTACTTGGACAGTTCGTTGGTCGGAACTGCCTTAGATGTGGATGAACAGCAACCGGAGACCATGTGCCAAATATGTGCGACCGTGTTCAAGACCCGGTACAACCTGTTACGGCACTTTCAGAAGCGGCACCCCGAGTACAAGATGTTTGAGTGCGATCTATGTCGCATCAGCTTCTCGTCCGTTAAACAGTTCAAGAACCACCTTGAAGAGAAACACTCCAAAATACACCCGACGAGCACAATCGACTCAAAGCAAGTGCGTTTCGCATGTGACGTGTGCGGTAACATGTACAAGAATAAGGCATCTGCTATGAACCACCTTCTGACACACACCGCCAAAAAGAATGTGCGCTGCACGCACTGTGACTTCACATGTTACACCAAGCAACAGCTAGGCGTGCACCAGACCAAGCATGATAAGCGGTTTGCGTGCGACATTTGTCTCAAACGGTTTGCACAAAAATCACAGTTGGATGTGCATGTCAACGCAGTCCACTACAACCAAAGGCCATTCTCGTGCGTGCTTTGTAACAAGACGTTCAAGACAAAGGGGTCGCATGACGCTCACATGATCGTGCACACAGACACCAGAAATTACCAGTGCCCGCACTGCGATAAAAAGTGCCGGAAGCGGTATGACCTAACGTTGCACATCCGGACTCACACGGGTGAAAAACCGTTTAAGTGCAGTGTGTGCGGACGTGGGTTCGTGCAGATGTGCGATACGCGCAAGCACGAGATGCTCCACTTTAAGCCGGGCAAGCGGAAACACTTATTGTTTGAGTCTTTGGAGGTGGGAATTATCGATGACGAATGACATACGGTGGCAGTGGCGGCTGACAACAATGATGATGATGACAATAACGATACCACCAACAACAACTCAATTCTATCACTACTGTCACCACCTACATCACCTGTCATCACCAACACAATGACGCTTAACTGATAGACCCCACTGTATTTTGTTTTAGATTAAATCTTAATTGTAACATATTATTTTATAAATATTTGTATATAGGTATATTTTTTTGTATTTTACTGTATTTTTTTTATGTTATACATTTTTAAATAACATTCTTACAAATTGTATTATTTTTAATTAGTCAAAGTTCCTTTTCCACCACATTTATATAGGAACAAACAATTATTAAACTCAGGTGAGTTAGAGAATTATAACTTGACGTTATTTCTTGTAAACTCTTAACTCAAAACTTTGTCTGTTTCAAAATACTTTCTTGATTTTTCTGCTAATCACCAAGTTAAGTTGAGTATTGAAACTGCAAAAATATGTTAATATGTGTAATTAAGTATTCTTATAATATTTGTGTAATATATGCATATATTTTAATGTTGATAATGTATAACACTATGTATTAAAATCTTTACTGAAGTGAAAATTGTTAGTAACTTTTAAAAATAAATACCTTAAGAACTATATTATGTTATTATTGTCTATCAAATTATGTACAATACAATAAATTTTTTGTGAGAGATCATTATTACGGGTTTTTAGTTGGCATTTCAATTTATTGACCTATGGTTAAATAATATATTTATAGATGAGTATATTGTTTGACTCGTAAAGATGGATTTTTTCGATACATTAATTTAAAAGTTAGATAAACATGTTGGAAATGTTTAATATTATACTTCATAATATTCTTATATTTAAATTAATTTAATTGGGAATTTCGAAATAGGCTCATCTGAAAATTAAAATTTTTCAAGAAACAAAAAACTGATTTTCTTTTTAATTTTGTTTTCTATTTTACCAATTTTTTTTCTAAAATTATAGACTTATATCATGTTATGCCCACGTAATATAATATTTTTGAAGTGAAATTTGATTGGCCAAGTGATTGATTAAGTTTTCCGAGATGAATCCTTTTTTTAAATTTGTAGGTGGAATAGGTATTTAAAATTGAAACAAATATGTGTCCTTTTTGCTCATAAAATATCTGTCTATATGTGTAAGACAGCGGTTCCTAAACTGTGCGCCGCGATGTCTTTTCTGCAGGGGCGCCGTAGAAATTGACCTGGTCTAAAAATAAATTCATGCTATGTCTTGGGAAGGGCGCCTTGAGAAAAGTTTAGTTCAAAAAGGGCGCCGTGAGCTAAAAAAGTTTGGGAACCGCTGATGTAAGATATTTTTCTGAATCTTTTTGTGGGATTGGTGATTGATTCAGTACTATTTGGATGTTATCAGTGTTGCATAACATATATTAATAAAATTATATTAATTTATTATAATTATATATTAAAGAGTAACGATATATCGCCATTGATTTTCCAACTTCTCGTCCAGGCAAAGATGTTGTCAATTGACTTCTGTGATTTATTAGTTGCAGTGAGCTGACTCTTACGTGTCGACAAAATTGCCGTATCGTCGGCAAACATAGCTAACGTGTTGTCATTGTTTAAGTTTTAAGTTACTGAAAATAATTTTACAAAATAAAAGGTACTTTTATGTTAAAATTAGATAATTTTATACTTGGTTTTTTATAGGTACATGGTTTATGGCTACCTATGTATCTTTTAAGATACAATTCATAACTTTGAACTTTCAAGTCCAATATTTTTTTTGACAACATTTTTGAATTCAGCGACCTTAAATTAGTTTGAAAATATCTACTTTAAAATTTTCATTCTAATATTTTAATGCTTGCCAAGTTAAGGGATGGAGTAAGTACAGGGTATGACCTACAACACTACCTTGCGGTTCTCCAACTGATATGTCTTTCCAATCGCTTCTTCGTGTATGACTCGAAATGTTGGTAAGTCAACTAAGTATGATTCAAGAAGTGTGTGGCAGCTGATCAGGCAGTTTAATACGGAACCCTTGGTGCCAGACTGTTAAAAGATCTTACCTACATCAAGAAATATTCCACAGTAGGTAGTACTTTTTTTCTTCAATGGGTTTTACTAGGTAGGTACCTAATCTTTTTAGTTTCTTGATAACCGATTTAGTTACTTGATCGATTTTCGAATGTTTGTTGTGACATTCAAACTGATGTTCTACTAAAAAATTTTTTTTTGAGTGTGACATCAATCAGTATGACATCTTCAGGTAGTTATTTTGGTTTGATTAACATGATTACTTGTGCCCGTTTCTATTTTTCGGGAACAAAATAGAGTTGAACATTTATTTATTTATTTATTATTTTTATTTTTATTCAAATAAACGCCCGTAAGGTCTCAAGTACAGCAGATTAATACAATCTTAAGTTTAAATGAAAACAAGACAATATACTAGAGATGGAGAATTTACATAAAAAAAATATCTGTAGAATTACCAATAATGTGGTAAAAATGGTAAAATATCTAAATCTTAGTGCCATTGTTATTTTTTACAATTAGACATAAGTAAATACGATTTGTATTAGGTACTAATGTTGTATAATTAGAGATGTAAGGTCGGTAAATTTTTACTTCGTAAATTTACCGGTATGGTAAATTACCGGTAAATTTACCAATTATTTTTTTACAGGTAAATATTTTTTTACCGAAAAAAATTAGCATGTGGCACCTCAAATTAAACGTCTTCACGGGGCCAATATTCATCAGTCATAACATATTAATAAAATGGAATAGTTTATATTATAAAATGTAAAACGTTCACAACCACTCATAGTGTAGTAGGTATACCTATACTACATAACATTAAACATACGAATACACCATAAGAATATCTGATACGATCAATTTATGACAATTATTAATTAATAGAAATTTGATTTTATCACAGATATAGATAATAAACCACGTTTAAAATATTAGTAATATTAAACTTTTTCAAGGCTTTGGTTCATCGATTAAACTTCTCTGATTATTTTTAAATGTTCTATACATAATTTTAGTATTTTTCATACCTATTAGAACTATATAGAGCCAAAGACACAACATTTAAAAATAACGAATATCCTGTTCAATTGAACACCTTAGTATCCAGTAAATAAAAAATGTTAACATAATTATAAGTTCATGAAAATGCGGCAGAGAGGAGTTTCAAGGGGTGTTCCTATGGCAACAAACCAAAATTATCAAAATTTACCAAATTTACGTAAATTACCAAAAAAAAATGTAGATACATTTTACATCTCTATGTTTAACTGCTTGTTAAATCTAGTTCTTTCTAATAATAACAATAATTAACAAAAAAACTAAAAATGTATCTAAAATATCTATTGTTCTGTATTAGATATTAGTAATTTAGTAGGTACATTTTATGAAATATGAATATTTAATTATTCATATTACAATTAATAAATAATTTAAATTAAGCTAAACTATCAAAATTCACATAACCTTTATTTCTTTTTAAGTCAAAACATTTATATTTAGAATTAACTTTTGTATCAATATCACATTTTATGCCTTTTTGGTATTTGTGATCTGCCTATATAAAATGTTTCCTAATTACCTACTGATATTTAATGTTCGATTATATACTAGGGGTGGCAGAATATTGATACTATATAGTCTATAACAATCTATATAAACAATAACAAGTGCAGTACCTACATCAATATTACAAATGATTATAATATCACAGTATCAGTTGATAAAAAAGATATCTCTTTACAATTCAAACTTTGCATTTTTGATTTCATTTGATTATTTGGGGCCACACAACTTTTTTTTTGGTAAAAATACCTAGTAAATTTAAAGCACTCACATCTCTACAATATACAACATTAAAGAGAAAAGAAAAAAGAAAAATACATAGGTATAACAGTTAAATAAAATAATAGTAATTAAGTTTAGTTAAAATATAATGAACATTATTTGACAGAAAAACTAGGGTTTGACGGATATAAATCTTTAATATTAAACAGATCAAAGTTTATCATGGCACTGCACTCTCTGGACATACGATCAATGGGATTATTGTTACCAATTACCATGGATGTACGATGAAATGGCACTTCGAACGTGGGACAAAAACGTGATTGATACAGGATACTGAGGGGTATATGGAAGTTAAATAAAAAACAAAAAAGGTGGGCAAGTGGGTGTCGCTCTGCTGTACAGTAGGTTATAAGTGGGTCACTGTATAATGGATGATATTAAATTTGAATTCAAAGATATAATATCATTGTATGAGGAAAACGATTCTGAGCGGAGACGGTATCTGTAGTGTAGGTATAAGAATATATCTAGTACAATATCTATGGTACTAAACCAAAATTTGACCTATATATATAATAAATTCCAAATTAATCATATCACAATATCCATTAGGTATGATAACGCGTTACATAAACAAAAACGTGGTACTATCAGGATACCTATAGTACTTAGAATTTCAATCACGAATATTATTCATCACAACAAATAACAAAATCGTTATTTTTTTTTTTTTTTTTGGCGGCAACATGGTGTTGTAGGAACTTAGGAGTTGGGTAGCGGTGTGTTTTTGTGGCAGAATTTTTATTGGCAACCGTAGTGTACATCCCCGGGTTGGGGGATGGCGCACTTGTACTCCGGACAGTGACTTGCCCGAGAGAATGCCGCCCGTTGGTCGAGAGGCGAACCCGCGAACAACGCCCATCGACGTTAGACCATCGGCACCTGTCCCCAAATAGTTATTCTAGGTTTTTAATATGTAATTTCGTCCAAATTTGAATTTAAAATGTCTGTAAAAAATAACTGTGTTCATATATTTTTTAGATTTTTTGGTTATAGTATGAACTATTTATGAGAACCTTTGTTTTAAATTTGCAATCCTTAGCTATAAAAACTGAACATTTTAAAATTTATTAATTACAATGATTGATAATTTTCGAGATTTTGATAAATTTTGTCAAAATTCGA